ATAATAATTTATTATCATAAAGAGTCCGAAGTTACTATCTTATTATATAAGATAAATGTATATATATATATATATATTAATATATAATATTGCATGTATAATGTAGTACCTAGTGCTAATAATAGCTTAGTCACAAAAGCCGAATTTCTTAATAATCAATAACACAAATGTCTTGTAATACATTTGTAATTATTTTTAAGTTTTTACTTTATAATTGATTTTAAGCCCGTTTTCGACTAAAAGTTTGTGTTATAATGTCATAGTAACTAATGAGTTTTTATATCTCTTCATACTTACGAGCTAAACTAATTGGTTGATTATGGCAAAAATATTAAATCTAATTATTATAATGAATATAAGACAAAATAATGGTTTTCGTTTTTAAAAAAGAAAATATTTATTTTTCATAACACGATGGTATCATATTTCATTTGAAATAAATGAAAAATATTTTTTAATATATTTTGACATGGTAGGGTGCAATAGAATTTTACACTTCGTTCACGCCTTCAAACTCTTTTTTTTTCGTGGCATTTTTTTTTTTTTACTGTATTTGCACAGTAAAATTCGTATCTATAATACCATTTATTATATAATTATGGTGTTTGCGTTCATTTTTATAGTCATATGAATATTTCATTACACACCTACTTCGTATACAGAGGATAGTCCTTACTGTTTTTTCCCCAGATACGTATCTACTTAAACATTATGTTTAGGTTCAGTGATAATATTATAATACATATATTCAAACATATAGCATATTAACATGTTTATAATATTTACATTTTAAAACAATTTAATCATAATATTATTATAACATGATGTTTATAGATTATGATTTATAATATATAAGTATCAGGGGCGTACCCAAGGGTTTTTGGCACCACTACATTGAGATTTCTACGTTAAAAAATGTTTTCATATAATAATAAAATTATGATAATAGTAATAATAATAATAGTACTAATATTTATTCTAATACCTAAATAAATAACTAGTGAATAAAACGGGCCAAGGGCCAATGGTAGGTACATAGTGATTATAAATTACACTATGACCAATATACATAATATTACGTTATTAAAATGTAGTCAGTTAATACAAACTATATAATATAATAACATAAAGCTACAATTTTATAATGCTTATAACTTACATTAAAATAAAAATACTAAAAAAATACGAGTGGAACTTTATATATGATGATTTTAAAATAAAATTTGATAATAGTGTCAATCCACTGTAATATTAAAAACCATGTAAAACGGAATATACTGACAGAACGTAAAATTTTCAGAAAATGTAGGAAAAACAGTTTTTCCCAGAGCTTCGGAAAATATAGACAACTTGGAGAATACTATAATAATACGTTTCCAAAAAATTAAAAAATTGTATTTACGCTTTAAATAAACTAAGAATAAAAAATTGATAAAGAGACCTTCCATTGTTACTTCACATTTGTTAATACGGGGTATGTACTGCTTACGCATCATTGTATTAACTATATTGATTATTAAGTATAATTAGGTAATACAGATATTTCAATATTTGTTCTAAAAATAAGGTTACCTATCAAATATTTATGTGGGAGGGTTAAGTGTATTTCCTAGAAACCTTTAATGTATTATGATTATCATCTATCATTATTAATTTTATTGTTTCCATTTAACATTCCTTTTTAGTTTTTTAATTCTTTGAAAAAAAAACTATTCAAATTCCTAATTTCCCAATTTTTCCCGATAAAAAGTTTTTTTTGTCAAAACCATTTTTGCCGGAAATTTCAAATGAAACCAATTTTTCCCAATTTTCCTAGAAGAGAAGAAGCCCGGGTTTTTTCGGAAATTTTTATCCCAAGTTATGCGTCAATAAGTTGGAGATAATAGCACTTATTGCTTATAACGTCAGCTTTTTAGCAAATTAATTTAATATGAATAACTAAAATTGAAATACTTATCAGTTATCACTTATCACCTAGGCCTTAGCACAAATTAATAATAATTATCAAACACCTGTGGTGAAATAAATAATTCTAATAATTGTTATTATTGTACCTATCCATTTTATAATATTGAACAAAACATTATTTGAATACTGGTTAAATTATTAGAAAGGTATATTGTATATGATCACAATTTACAAGACGTAATATTTTGATAATGAATTTGATGAAGTTAAACTTGTAAAATTGTATGAGGAGACCAAATACTTTAATTATTGATTACCTACATATTGGACTCTCCCCCCTTAACAAAGTCCTGGTCAAGTCGCTTATATTATAGCACATAATATTATTGTCTGTAAGATGTTTTGAACGAATAAGTTTGTTTTAAATTTAAATGGATAAATCTGTACACATGTTGACATGATATTAAATATAATGTTTTGTAATAAATACATATTCACTAATTTGTGGCTAAGTTTTCATTGAATGTACAACAATAAAAATATATAACTTGAGTGTTTCAGAGAAAAATGGATGGAATAATATTATTTTGCTGCAATATGTAGTTGAGAGCAGCAATGCAATTCTTTCACTTATTAAACCGGAGAAGATTTCTAAACGCAATATGTATTTTGTTCATGAATAAAGGAAGAAATAAAAAGTAAGAAATCGTTTTTCTCGTAGTTTTTACCTCACTATTTTTAAGAAAAAAATCTAATAAATTTAAAATTATATCTCGCATTTTACACACGGATAAAAACTAGCGGAAAGAAAACTGCAGTTTTATGTCTTTTCTTAATCTAAACACATGGTGTTGGAGTTCAAACTGAGGAATCGCTTCTCTTTTTAAAAGTCTAAGAAGAGAGCAAACACCAACTTGTAAAACGGATCTTCTCTTTCCTGTCATTTTTTATTTTTTAAAACGCATAGTTATTATTCAGCCAAGTGTTCGTCTTCTCGGTCTCTAAACTTGACACTTTTTTTCCTTGGGAATTTATTATTTTAAGTACACAAACACTATTCACAGGTTCGCTAAGGCTTAATTATATCAGATATTCTCCTTTCTCAAATTCTGCCAACATCAATTAATAAAATATATCAAATTAGCAAGTTTTCTTCTTGCGTGTAAAGTAGGAAATTCTACTATCCCTGCCAAGTTCTAAAATTCCCAAAAGTTATATTTTACTTATAATTCATCCAAAATAGATCGCTCACCTGTATAATGCGCTTCTATGTATTTTATAATTTATAATTTATAATTCTGTCTAATCTTCTTACATTATATATTCATCACAACTTTCTTGTTTCCGTAACGTTCATTATCATTCCTTATCTATATTGTCCCCTACAAAACCATAGTAATTACATTTAAGAGGGGTAGTTTTAAACGTTGAGGGTGCTAAGATGACTTAAGTCTTCAGACTACCTACTCTGGTGTTTGAATTATTCAGAACATGAAAAATTACAGAAATTAAAAAACCAACATTTTAGGAGGGAGAGGTTACAAAGTAGAACAATACGTAGGTATACGTAATCCCAAATAATATGACGGATTTCCTTTTAATTTTTTAACAGTGTGTACATTATTATTATTACTATTTTGTTGATCTCTGGAAAGTCGAAAAAACGAAAAGCATATTCTTATGTTTCTATATAAACGAATAATCGATCTTACATACATACCTACCACGGATTCCGTATCCGAACGAGACAACGAAAAGAGTTTATAATATATTATGCTTGATACCGCGTTTTTCGATTACAATCGTGAGATGTGCACTGCAGTCACTGCCAGCGGACTCAGAATATGGAAAAACAAACAAAATTATACGAACTGGCGATGGATATTGTGCAGATATGTGCTCCGTAAATGTGCCATCTTCACGTAGACTTTAAATATTCGCGACGCACAGATACAAAAAAAAAACACAGATAAACATAATTTAACGTGTCCCCGTGTTATCCGTAGGGTCTGACGACTTTGCCGAAAATCGTGTAAATCGATAAACATGGTTTTAAAGTCGTCTCCGTGACGCTTTATGAATAATTTATTATCGGCAAAGGCATATTTTATTGTCGAAAACAAAGCACAAAGGTCACTACTAGACACAGTGGGCGTATACGAAAAAGCGTATAAAATATTATACTTTTTTTAGGGCAAAACACTAATTTTTTCAATTATTCTTTAGTGGATTCTATTTTTTTTTAATGTATTTTAAAGCACAAGGACTAAAACAAGTTTGTGTTTTACTCATAACGTATTATTTCGAAAAAAAAGATGATTATTATCGTGCCTATAATAAGGAATAAGCTCCATTATTTCTACTCGAACATGTTCGACACCATTTTAAACGCTTATAAAGTAATAATTTGTATTAAATTATATAAAGTTTACCTGGGTTTGTAGTTGACACAGTATATTATTAGAATTTTCTACTAGACAAAAAATTATTTTATACTTTTATTAAGTCTTGGAAACCGTATATTATAATTTAATATCACTTCAATATGCAATAAATATCAAGTCTTGTCGAAATATGTAAAAAAACAATTTTAATTATTAATTTGAAACTATGTATTACCAAAAAAATGTATGTATTATTTATGTATTAAAAAAAATCGGTTCCATAATTTAAATATTATTTAAATTGAAGAAGTGCTTCGAATTACATAAGTTACGTAAAAACTAAACTCAATAACGTACCAATAATAAGTCTACCAGAAAATTTATATTTTCGTTAGTTAAAAAAAAAGAGTATCGCTTACGGGAAAACTTATAAAAAAAATATAAAACCGTGTCAGAGCCATATATTGTCCGATCTTCGTTTGATAGATTTATCGTTGACGGATCGTCACGAGACATGTCTGTCTTTCGGTCCTATATTATAATAATATTATATTATAGGTACATCTATCATGCCACTTTTAGGATTTTTTTTTACAGCATAAGACGTTGATACTTTTCCAACGATTTTTTCCCCTCTGATATAGAATAATACAATTTTTCGACGACGAATTTTTTGCCAACATCGGCTTACACGGTCGCGAAACTCACCTGCGTAGTTGATGACACGACGGCGGTGGCGGCGGCGGACGACTGCCGGAACAACGACAATATTATTATCGTCCATGTTCGAGAGAGTTTCCGGGCGTCACTTCCGGCGGCTACTACTGAGGTGACGGTGATCCGACAACGACGACCACGGAGATATCATGACACCGTGATAATATTAAAAAATAGAATACTCAAATCAATCCGACAACACAGCGCAAATCGCAATCTTAAAATAACTATCGTTTTAAAAAAAAAAATGTATTCGATTTTTGTCCGTAGTGACTAGGAAAAATATATTTTAAAGCATTGCATTATAATATAATGTGACGTATAATACTTAATGTGATATATAGTATTATTATCGAACTCCAGTTTTAGCGAATATTTTGGAATTGAGAAGGAAATAACGAAATATGTCGCAGAAGACGAAGGACGCGACGACTCACGCGCACAATCAACGTCGAATAGATAATATTATGTAGCTCGATATTATGGCGGTGGCAACAGTGTTAATTCCGAACGCGTTAACGATACATTTCCTGTACACGGTGGCCTATTCATGTTTCCATTTAGACTCCACATATCGTCTCCGACACACTACACTCGGATCGAGGGTCATATTTTCGTTATTGAATACCTAGTTCATAAAGTATTATTATGATATACTCGTATGAATAGGTACTCCATATACTTGAATGAAACATTTCTAACAAAAAAGTATTTGGAACGAATATTCGAATGCACGGACAGTTAGTACTCTGTGATACTTAGGCTCCGGTTCAAAACAGTGTTTTTCACAAAATTTGTTGTGCAAGTACCTAACCTACCTAATTTGAATAGAATAAAAGCGAGCGAATATAATGACTAATGAGTAATAGGTACACCGAAAGAGGAGTTTAAATCTTTCAAAATTAATTTAAAATGTTTTGATCTGTGTATATTTTAAATTTATTATAAGATAACCAAGTCTTATTCAGAGTGAGTCACTCGTAAACTCGTCCGATGATCTGAATTTGTCCAAATTATACTTGTTTTTGAATATTCGGAGGCCACGGCGAAAAGTGTAGAAAGTTTGGGGACCGTTGCACACAAACACAAACAATCAAATGAATTCAGTAATAACCACATATTATATAAAATACAACTAGATTGCAGCGACTTCGCTCTAATATTGAAGTCAGTAGAATGGCTGACTGTACTAATCAATAAAGAGGTACCAATGTGCTTACAGTTTGTTCGTTTAAATGTGATCTATAAAAGCCCAAATAAATACATAAATTGTATTTGATGTATTGCTATTCGATCCTCATTACGAAATTGTAAAGTCGTGGTCCTTTTTGACGAGAAAAGTCGGCCATTCTCCTGGCTTCAAAACATTACGTTGTGGTTGTACAGGAAGTCGGCTATCTAGTCGTATTATAATATATTTTATCCGTGGTGACAACTTATAGCGACTATACCACTACCACGGTCGAAGACCGATTTAATCTATGACGCGGTAAGTGTTATCTGTTTGATCGTCGTAGCGCTCGTGCAGTGTGAGTTTGATCCCCACTGCGGGTCAAGCTAGCTGGAGATTTCAAACTCTTTTGACGCTGTGCTCGGCGAAAAACACGCAGTCGCGTTAAATTCGTTCAATCGTGACCACCAGATCGTTTGACGAGAAGAAGAAGAAGAAGAAGAAAGGTAGAAAAAAGTGCACCAAATGTGTATTATACTGGATGATAACGCGTTTCCTACCATTATTATCGTCTCCCGACTCGACGGCGACCTTTATACATTTTATATTAGGTATGTTGTTCGAACAATGAGTGGATTCGTAAAGCCCAACTTCGCGATTGCGAACGATTGCACGTACGTGTCCTGCACAGCGAGTTTAACTTTTTTCGGATTCGTAACTTTTTTTCTCTTTTTTTTTTTTATTTTTGTTTTTTTTTTTATCAAGTCTTAAAAGCACATTAGGCAATTTACTATCGGGTTTTTTTTTCGCCGACGATGACCTTTTAGTGTACCTGCCAAGTGAATTCATGAACCACATAATTTGTATTACCCATGTATTATTATTATTTATTATACGCGTTTTCGACCGTCGCGATACAAAACATATTATTCAACTCGTATACCTACTATTCCACTGGTATAGCATTCAACCTCATCACGCGTGCGAGTTCTTACAGTTATATACATTTCGAATAAACGAGTGTCGACGCTACGTAAACATTTTACACAGTTTGTTTTCATTATCCGCTTTTCGTTAACAACATTGAACATATAAAACGACAGATCGTTATAAAATAATATACTATTAGCCAGGTAATACGACGGGTGTAGTGTATACCTGTAGGCTGAACATAATATAATACCTATTATACAACATAGATAGACATCGGAGACCTTTTATGACAATCATAATTTAAATTAATCACCTCAGATGTATACATATATTATTATATTATCTTGATTATTGATCGTCTAATGGTAACACACAGTTATACGTGAAACGTACACTATGCACGGCTGTCATGTACTATATTTTGACATTTGGTGATGCTTCGACGATATATTTCTTTGCGCAGCAAAACTTTATAGGTACCTTTTTGTTTTCCCACAAAATATCGATAACCTATGACTACATATTATGTAAGTGCATAAATAAATAAAATAATTTGGAAAAAACAGTTTTCTTGACCTCTTTACAAAGTGTGAGAATTATTTAAAATTTAAATAATATTATACACATTTAACTCGAATTTATTAATATTTTCATGGGGGGGGGGCATATTTATTTTATACGCTCCTACAGAATTAGTAGAAATTATATTTTTTTTCATTGTAGAGTTAGAAACTTTTTACAATTGATTTGCCTAAAGATCAATTTTATTTGCACAGATGCTCCCATTCAAGTAAATAAATAGAAACATATAATTAAATAATGTAATTTAATGTATTTATTATACAGCGAAACTTCTATACTACAAGATATCAAGGGGCAACAAAAGAAATTCGTACTATAATGAAATTTGTTAAATAGAATTAAATAAATTTGCTTTTTATTTGGTTGAGGTTCTTAAAAATATTTTATTCAATAACAAATTACTTAAACTAATGGAAGTTTCACTGAATTAAATACACTATATGTTATCGTCTATATTGATATGTCATATGTGTGTGAAAAGGAATACATAATGATAATAATAACAAAGGTATTATTTGAAATACCTAATTATATTATAATAGTTTTATAAGAACAAAAAATGAAAAGGAGGAATTTCCACATGGCCACCTTTAAATACGCCATAGAGAATGCTAATAACAATAATAGTTGCAATCGAAAAGGTAGAACATTATTATAATGACTTATTTCGTTAAGTCGGTCGTATGTTGTCAAGTGACAAATAATTCACCTGTCCTCCAAGATGGTCAAATGTGAAATTCTGTTTCAATATGTAAGTTTATTAATTCTCCTGGCATTTGAGAGAAGGCATTAAAAAAATATGTTCCTGAACTTGACTCTACATAATATTAGGAGGACTTTAAACAAATTATTTTATGAGTCAAAATATGCTGTTTTTTTGGGCTCCAGGTACATATATATTTTACGGTTAAGTATGGAATGTATCTTTTTTTTGTTTAATTGAAAAAAAACTAATTGATAGCGCACAACACGAAAGAACTATATGTCATACATAATTTATGTATTAACACAAATTGATAACATATTTTATTCATGTTTTGGAAACCATAAAACATATACCTATTTGATTGAATTTTATCAAAGAACATTTTATCAAAATATACCGTTCGATAAATAAATAAATACTGATGGAAACATTCAAAACGTATAAAAATAAATGTATTCTATAGATATGGCTGTGTGTCAGGTTTTCAGTTTTTCCCCAGAAATCGTTTTAAAAGTGTTAAAACTTAATCGTTTTTAGAATTATTTAGTTTTCTATGTGACTCTGCTATTAACACGGGCTGCATTATAATCCGCATTTAAACGCTATTTTAAATAAATATAAATCATTGTTGCATTGTACTATTGCAGGATAAATATATTTTCTATACATCATAATATTATGTTAGTGGGTCCACCATTATTACACGAAAGTCACCGTGACTTAATCACCACCCCAGAGGATTTTTCAAAGCTCAACTTCAGTTATTGAAATCATTTACCCCGAAGTAGAATGTAATCGGCTTAGCTGGATGGGAAAAGAAAATATTTATGAATTGTGATTAAATCTCCAAACGGACAAAAGAAAGCATCTGTGTAACCTGTGATGGTTTGAAATAAGCATATAACATTCGAAAAGAACAAAATGAGAACAGTGGTAATATGTAGTAACTATTTATTAAAAATGTTCAGTATTATTGGAGCGTAAATTATTATTATTTTCTAAGCACATTTAATATTTGTTAAAAAAAAAATGATAGTGCAACTTACGAACATTGCAAGGGAGCATTTTAAATTACGACCCATACCACTATACCAGTTATACAGCTCATTTTGTATTTTGACATTTAATAATATTTATGACGACTACAGTGAGAATAGGTAACTCGCTACTTTGTTTCTGATAATGTAAATGTCAAAACACATCCTTAAACTTAACTTATTAAAATAAATTGTTTATGGTCAAAAACTGTATGCATAAAATGAATATTTAATGTGGCTGTGTGTACAATTTAAAAGTTTTATTGTTTTAATAATGTTAACTCTGTCTCTCTTTTTAATAAAACTTTTTATTTTCTTCAGTACACGCATATATCTATTTATTATAATTGTTTCAAAATGGAGAGTTATAGTACCTAATTAGAATCCTTTTTTCTATTCAAATGAAGAATAATGTTGAAATTGAGTATTTTTATTGACAATATTCTAGAAACAAAATTACATTGGAATTGAGGTAAGATAGTAATAATATTAATTTTTTTGGTACCTTAAATATAAATATATAAATACAAATATAAATTCAACTTAAAATATCTTTTACAGATTAATTATCGAAAGACATTAAAAATTAGTACTTTATGTCGACATTATTATTATTTTTCAGAACATTTTTTTAATTATTTTACACATTTTTAAAAAAAAATTTTGTTTTCATAATAATACGAAGTCAATAAAAATTGTTAATAATTATTAAAACTTTTATCTAATTTATAATATAATGCTGGGTACTATTATTTTGTTTTACATCTATATTTTGTTCTTACAGTAACCAAATTGTATTTGTATTTTTTTTTTTTAGTCTTTCAAGAGTTCGTATGTTTAATTAAAAGTATTCCATTCCTTCATTTTTTAGCTTTCAAAATTATTTTAATAAAATATATACAAAATTACGACTTTTTAATATTTTGTGAATAATTTTTGTTTAGTTTCTACTGCTTTTGCGAACAGTAAGTGAGTGGCACTTAGCGTCGTTTTTGTATCTGATTCTTCCCTCTAGTTGGACGACATTCGTTTCTCAATGGCACTCGTTTTTTTCT